CGGCAGTCAGGGACGAGGCTCTTTTTTTTCTTTCTTTTTTTCTTTCTTTCTTTCTTTCTTTCTTTCTTTCTTTTGGACCAGACTCTGATCACGGGCTTGATTAGTCTGTAGCTGTGTTGAGGTATAGATACTTTCTGCTATTGAGACTTGGACGTAACGTTATTAGCGATATGTGAGGTTCGGTATCGTATTACAGGCTGAGTATGGGATGGCCGGGACGTTTCACGTTTGGGAACACTGGGGATCGTTGTCGGTCGTTCGGTCGGTGGAAGCCTTGGTCGGGACCAGAGGTTTCTGCCAAAACCTGACAAGAGATGGAAAGCAAGTAAAATCCGTGTGTGTGTACCTTACTTGACATGTTGCTGGAACGGGAGAGTTTGGAAGATGAGGCGACCCGGTTTTTCGTCCTGTTTTGGGGCACCATTTCGGCAGACCGGGGGAACCAAGAGGTCCACGACGAACAAGAAAGGCACATGGTTTTTGGACTGACTTGTTGACTTGTCCTTGACTGAAGCTTGTGCGCCCCCCTCATCCCCTCGTCGGGACGGTGTGCAATGATGAGATTGTGGCTGTGGGTTTTGGAGAGAGGAAAAGATTAGACAAATTTTTTTTTTTACAAACTCTTGCCTAAAAAGGCAATTGGATGTAAGAGTTATCGAGTTTCTCTGACTACCAAAGGTATCCATACGAAGCACAGCTAGACAGCCGTGGATCCGAGGGTTATGGGACGTTGCTCAATGTCCGAGCACAAGGGAAAACGGATCGGCGACTCTTTTTTTAAATTCTTCTTTCCTTTTTATCTCATGATTTTCCTTACCACCCCTCCCCCCTCCGTGCCCGCTTGGACACAGACAGGCCACGCGTGTTGGGCGATCTGATCACCGGCTCTGCGACTGCAACCCACGTAACTTACTCATGTACGAAGTGTCTTCTTTACCTATCTGTCTTCCTTTGCTGGTGGTCAAAGAGAATATGAGAAGGGGGAAAAAAAAAAACATACAACACCAGGGATTCGCTGATCGTCACCGACTCAACTACTAGTCTGGCCCTCATCGGCTTGTCTATGGGAGAGCGGACGGGATCCCGAATTTTCCGATGGGTATGGTCGTATGTGCTTGTTCGTGGAAGGAGATTTCACTATGTTTGGTGAGAGTGGTCATGACTTCTTGGTGGTGATGGCAGTTTGATTGCATGAGGCTCACGCTAAATCCCAAGCTCGCGGTCAACTCTATGTAGCATTTATAGAAGAGCAAGCAAAGGTCTGAGTACCGCAAGAGCCTCAAACTTCCCTCATTTTGTGACCGCAATGATAAAGTCCTCTTTACCCCGATTCCATCGGGCCTAGATTCAAATTACAGCTACCGCCGGAAGTCTGGCATAATCTCCGACGCCGTTGTCGGTAAACCTTCAGAGAGGTCGGGAATTGGTGCTCATCACCTCACCTAGTGCATTGATGCTAAGGTAAGTATGTAAATGGGTAATTGGCACCTCTTTTCCGCCTCTCACATAATTCGCAAGAGCTTCGTTGATTACACACGACATGCATACTTTACAATCCTCCTCGCAGCTTTCCTACATCCCTAAGCTGGGATGGATAGGCATGTATATCCTCTTCGCCCATATACGTCATCTCCAACTGCAGCTGTTAATTCTCATCAGGTCTGGGTTCCATGGGCCTTAATATGGCCTCCAACTTGCAAAAGTATCTATCCAAGAAGCAAGAGCCAAATCTTCGCTTTTACAATCGTACCGAGTCTCGTGGGGCACCTCTGAAGGAACTTGGTGGAACGCCATCAAACATCATCGATTTAGTGTCTGACTCGGACATTGTGTTCATGTCTTTGGCGGACGATTCAGCAGTGGCATCCGTGCTTGACACGATTCTCGAGGTTGATCATCTTGATAGCAAGATCATAGTGGATACCTCGACGATTCAACCTTCCTTTTCGGCGACGGCTAAATCTAGACTGCAAGAGAGAGGAGCAGACTATATCGCCTCTCCTGTTGTCGGTGCCAGTCCCCTTGCTGCTAGTGCACAGCTGTTGTGGATAATGGCTGGCAAGGAGACTTCCATTGATGTTGTGAGACCTTATGTTACCGGTGTCATGGGGAAGAGTATCATTCCCACGGGCGAAGACGTTCGTCAAGCGAGCTATTTGAAGGCTGCAGCGTAAGAAAACCCAGACATGAACATCTACCTTGAAAGAATAAAAGTCCTGATGGGAACTGAATATCTAGGAACTCTCTGTCGATAGGTATGGTTGAGGTGGTCGGTGTAGCTCATACTCTGGTTGAGAAAGCTGGATTGGGGGTCGAAACCGCGGAAGCGTTGATCGAGGAGCAGATTGGCCCGTTCGGATTGATGGTATCCAATCGACTGACCTCTGGGGCTTACATGCCTCCTCGAGGCGAGCGACCGTGGTCACCGGCTGTCAATGGACTGGCAGCCGGAAGACAAGCCTTGAAGAGCGGTCCTCAGCCGAGATTGCTGTCACTCGTCTTGCAGCAGTTAGAGGAAGCCGTAGAGTACGCCGAAGGAATTGGTCGAGAAATCGATGCGTCTGCAATCTATGGGGTTATCAGAAAGGATGCGGGACTCTCTTTCGAGACGGACCAGGTCAAAAAGAGGGACGGCGATATGTAAGCGATACCTATCGTATATATATCGTCGGAGGAGGGTATAATGTGACCTCAGTCTCCGTAGTATGGTGGTGGCCTGATAGAACAGAACCTTTTTTTCTAACTCTAAAGCATTTTGCGCATGTCAGTCGGTCGATCAATCCTACGGATGCCATCTACCATGCGTTGGACTCGCAAGGTGCGTAGCCTCCAAAAAATCCTTTTGCGCAGTAATCATAGCATAAATCTGCAGAAACCAGGCAAGCCGTCTGCCGAGCATACTTACAATACTGTAGACAGTAATATGCCGTGCTCGTCCAGCTGTTGTGATAACAGCATCAGCCGCAACACTAATCGACCTGGGATCGGCCAGCAAAAGACCCGCGGCTCATCCAATGATTGACCAGACAGGCCCAGGCTTCTTCTCGGCAAGTGCCCGGCTCTGCCATGGAGACGACGGAGTCTTGGACCGGAGCTCTCACCTGTGAGGCTCTGAACAGGCATCTGACTCTCGTCTCACGCCCCCGGGGAGTGGGGTGAAGGGGAGACGGGACAGGATGAACTTTCTGAAACATAGCTTGATGCCACGCCGTGGAGCCAATCGGCGTATGGTTTTTGCCCTTGCCTGCGTCCGTTATTTTGTTCCCGACTCCAAACCAACTCCATCTCCCCGTCTCCCGCCCACGGCTCCTTCGTGCTAGTGAATCAACCTCATCACCTTTCCCGCACGTTCCCTTGAAACAAGGCCAGCAGCCCCCTTCATGTCATGTGGGCTCCGGCTCTTTTTGACAAGGGACCGCGACGCTCTGGCCTCACTTTCTCGACGGCACTATCGTATCCTCGTCGGGTTGTGCCGGCCCCAGCCCTCTTAGTATGAATACACAGGTAACAGGTCAACCCTCACCGGTAGTAAGAGTTAGATTGACCAAGGTCAACCAACGTCAGCCAAAAAGCAGATGGGCAGATGCAGGTGCCAAGTTGGATACAACACACCCCACGACAATCCGTGGAACCGCTGTCATGGGTCTCTGACCAGGGACATCCCAAGCTGACGCAGTAAACGCAGGACATGCCACTGCAAGTGACAGTGCGGGAGGGAGGGCTGCCAATACCGTCGTTCCTTTCTATGCCTATTCAGGTTGGTTCGTTTCGTTGCTCGAACTGAGCTTACACGAGGGGACGAATCGAACGCTCCAGCATAGCAACAAGTTTACCTCAGATCGAGTCAGAGTACGCTGGCTGACCGTTCATTTTGCAACTCTTGTTTTTACACTCCTCCGCTGATTTGGTTGTTGTATCATTCGTTCCCTCCAAGTGGGAATCGTACCCTATATTTGTCTATATCACGTCTCACTCGTGCCCGTTTCCCGGCATGCGAACCTCCCGGGGCTGGGCCTGGATTGCGCTCGCGACCTCCTGCCCTCTTTCTTCACCGTCCCGTCTCCTCCCCATGTCAAGTCTTGCGGACACATGACCCCCTTCCCGAGTCCCTAGAGCCCCGATACGCGAGGAGGATCATGAGGGAGAAGCGAAAGCAAGCAGGACAGAGGCATGCCCCGCCCTTGCCGGCATCCGCCGGACCTGATGCTTGTCTCCCCGTTAGCTTCTCTCAGTTCCTGCAGCTCGTGTTACGACTGCCAGCCGTACTCGTAGCGTACAAGCCGCGAACAAGACATCATAAGCCGTGATGCGGGAACATGACCGCGAGGAAACCCAAGCCTGTCCACCTGTAGCACTTCCCGGCTGGGGAGCATGCCAGGCCGCAGACAAGTTCAACCCGGGCACCCCCTCCCCTCCTCCATTACTTGCGCAAGATATCTACACCGCGTGGTTCTGTTGCATCGGTGGGTCGGTATTTAGACCCCTCTGCCACACATACACACAGGCACGCTGTTTCTCTATATTCCATGTCATTATCTGGGGGGGCCGGGCCAAGTTCTCTTCCCGTGTCGGACGAAGCTGAGGCAGAGCGCGGCTGGGCTGCGGATGCGGCATGCAGGAACAGGCGGTCTGCCTCTCCTTCGTCCCGCTGCAGGCCTTGCGCACGGCACGCACCAAACGCAACATCTCGAAGCTAGTGTTTTGTTCTGTTGGATCCCCTGGTTTCCTCGTTTCCCTTCGTATTATACATAGGTGTGGCCAGCCCACCCGCCCTTCCGTAGCACACACTCACCCACACACCCCCATATCGGATCCTCAAGAGGTCTGAGTGTCAGACTGGACAGAGACTCTATTTCGTAGCTCCAAGTTTTCTTTCTTTCTCGAGTCTTGGGCCTGTGGCTCATCCACCTCGTATTTCTCACGTCTACATGTTCCATTCATACGCACGAGTTGTAAGACCGTGAGCAACACAGTCAAGCGGCGTAAAAGGGTGGAAAGACATGTCGCTCAGATTCTATCAGACTCCCGGTCCGGAGCGGCCATGGCGCCCGCCGGTGATGGACGAGGACTGCCGGCGCTACCGCCGCCGAGCAAAGCGGACCGACAAGTGGATTCCACCCCAACTTGCCTTTGAAGAAGTGATCAGGAATAACACGGAATCGGTGAGTGATATCTGCCTGCCAGCGCATGTGTATTCCAAGGGGACGACTGGAATTCAAGAATGACTCTGACTAACAGTCGGATGTCTTCAGCCGTGCTCACTAAACGACTTTGTGGACTATCTCGTCTACGTCGAGCAGGACGCGGAACCGCTGCAATTCTTCCTATGGTACTGCGGCTACGTCCACTCATGGACGACTCTGGCGCCCGAGCAGCGTGCTCTTGCGCCGCGTTGGGATCCGGACCGCGGCAGGAAGCTCACTGCCAAGGAGAGGAGGGCCAAAAACTCGAGTAAAGTGAGCAACATTCTCGAGATGCTCGACGAGGACAGCAGCTACGCCCAAGCAAAAGCGGGAGGGAACCATACGCGGAACACGTCTTCGGCAACAAACTTCTCTCACCCTAGAGCAACTGGTCTCAGAGACGGTGAAAAGGAAGAGGTGGAAGAGGGGACAGTTCCGCAAGGTAAGACCACCAAAGTCGAATGCTTCATGACATGCTAGTCCCGTCAGATATCACCGAATCTCGTTCTCATCGCTTATACAAACCCAAACCCAAACTCAAACTCACTAACATCTCTCCCTGCAGCACCAGCATCATCACAACCCTTCCGCGCAGACATCAACGCCATAACAAAACACTATATCCACGCCGACGCCCCGCGCCGCCTGAACCTCACAAAAGACGACCGCACCGCCGTCCTCAAAGCAACATCCTCGACAACGCACCCCTCGGCCCTCCTCCCGGCCTTTGAAAAAGCAGAGGCCCTCCTGCGCGGCAAACTCCACCCGGACTTCATCCGCCACAGCATGGCCAACGCGAACCGCGCCGCAACGCACCTCCTCCGCCTCCTCGGACTCGTGCTGCTCACCCTAGGCCTCGGCCTCGACGCCACGCTCATCCTGTCCTCATTTTCGCGGTACTACCGCCTCCTCTCCACACCTCTACTCTTCTTCGGCCTCGCGATCCTCGTCGCGGCCCTCGACGGCGTCTCGCTACCCCTCCACCTCGCGCGCAGACGCCACGTTCGGCCGTGGGAGGTCCCGGACCTGGAAGCCGGCCGGGGCAACGGTGCAGGCGTGTACAAGAACAAGAAGGAAAGGGTCCCCCACCGCCGCGCCGCGACGAGCGAGAGCGTCGCGGGCGCCGTCGACCCCCTCCGCAAACCCGCGCTCTCGACGCTCGGCGCGGAGAATCATCTGTCCTTCAAGGGTGAAGAGTGGGTTGCCGCGTACGAGCGCCGGTGGCTTTGGCGGCGCGTGTTTGAGCGCAGCCGGGCGAGCCGGAACAAGCACCTCCGGATCCTGCAGGACGGCGTCGTCGCGGGGGCGGTGTTGTGGGCTTCGTTGGCGACGATTGGGGTTGGTGTTGGGTCGGTTTTTATACCCTCGTATCATTTGTTTTGAGTCAGGTTTAATGGATGGATTCATTGGCGGGAGGCATTTACGTTGAGAGGTACACTTACACTTATACCATGGGTTCCATGACAGTCTTTTCTGGAGTTTTTGTGTGGAAGCACAACGGGTGGGTGCCCGGCGATTCAAGCATTAGATATGCGGATCTGCGACATCGTATAATACAATATCAAGATTTTAATGACTGGAACTTTATGACCTACACTGCCATGAATAACCGCTAATTCGTCCCGCATGTGTACTCAAAGTAGAATAGGCAGGAGCGCAAGTGTTGAGATATGTATTATGCTCCAAAACCCCTGCCCAGCCGACCCTTCTTATCTACACTTTAATCATAGAATGACGACGACCGTAGTAAACAACGAGGGGGTCGTCAGCAGGAAGAAAAAAACCAAAAAAACAGGTCAAAAAGACAAAAGCTCAGGTGCCTAGTCCGAGACTCGAACTAGACCACCTTACGAAACCCTCCATCTGCACTGGGGTGTACAGACTTCTCGAGATTTCATACCAAGTTCGTTACTAACGGACCAGGGCGTTATACCGCTCGACCATGGGGATCGATTGGGCTTGGTTGACGAAAGAGCGACCTCGAGTGGATATAGAGGCAAGGAAGGCAAGCGCTGAATCACCGGTGCCTTGGTCGGGTGGTCCGTTGCATATTCCACCTTGCGTATTCCGCCACCAGTTTCTAAATCCCGTGTCTAGGAGTACCAATCCAAGAAGGATCTCACGGCTCCAAAGGGAGGTATGGAGAGAGTGGTCGAATGCTTCAAAAGGTATCGGTATCTTTTTCCCTTCTTCTAAAACATGGCTCAAATAGGGGGTACTTTTTTTTCATGCTTTCTACATCTACCTTGCTTACGACTTGCCTGCCGCTTGTTGCTGCTGGTCGTAATAAAGCTCCTCTGCCGTTGTTATGCATTGCATATTCGCGCCGAGCTTGTTCATCGTCTCCAACCACTCGTCGTATCTAAGCGTCGGGTCAGTCTACAGCTTCCTGGGGTAATGGATCTGACAATCACTTACTCGTCAGAGTCGAATACGATACCGCCACCTAAGAACATCACAAGTCAGTATACGAAATATCTCACCACCCAAAAAAAAAACTTCAAGAAAACACTGGATAGGGGGTCGGGATAGGGGGG